CTCTAAGGCACGGCCCTTGCTAAACGTTCATGCGGAAACAGCAATTCTGCCTCCCTCATCGCTCTCGTTTCAAAACGGTAAAGGCGAAGGGCGAGCGGACGGCAAGGGCAGGATTGCTTGGCTGTCTCCGCCTAAACTCTCACTGTGGAAAGTCGTGCCTAACCCACTCGTCACATCAATTAAGTGAGTGTTGAAAAGCCACGACTTAGAACCATTACTTGACAGGTTGGAAAACGGACCTGATGGCCTAGTGCTCAACACACCAACCTGATAAGCGTAACACTAATGGTAAGGTTCGAGTCCTTGCCGTGGTCAGGTGTGCCCATAATTCAGCAACCCTGTAATGGCTTTCAGAACGCGAGTTGAGTGACTGGAGATCATGTCAATGAAGTGGGACAACTAACTAGCACTGTCGCTAGTTTGACGCATGCGATGCCACACCTGAAGTACATAGCTACGCACCTCCACAGTGAGGGCGTAGGTGCGAGAGAAAACTAGATATGACGGGGAGACGGAGAAGGTAGATAGGCCGCGACGTCGCGCGCGGCACATCGTGAAGTGGTGCGCGGCAAATTCTCGATATGCATCTTGTTGTCTTTAGAGCTACGAAACTCGTCGATGCCGCGTGACATGGACCTTTCCCGTCCGCTTGGCATTTGAAGTGAAACGACCGGGCAGAAAAACTCGTCCCGCGCGTGCACGGTGCCGCTCGTATGCCCAGCGCGGCACATTCACCTGTATCACCTGTGCTCCCGTTGATCATCGAGTTCCTCGAGCGGGCGCCAGTAACGTCTCCATTCGTCCCTGCAACGTGCAAGAGTTGCCCAATGAACTCTCTCAGCTCGAGGGACACGATGAACTTCATACCGTTCGTTCAGAGCTTTCACGAAGAAGTCTGACCATCGCATAGGCGGTCGTCCAGGCGTTCGCTTGATACGTCGGTAATCCGTCGGTGACTGCTCGTGGTCAGCGGTCGTCCTCGGAAGCCAGACGTCCGGTCGACACTGATCTTCTTGAACCTTGGCAAATAACGGCGGCGTCTCCTGATCTTCGACCGATGGCGCGAGTGCCGGATCGCCTCTCTCACTTGCGTGTAGCGGGAAACTCCGAGCATCGCCCTTTCAATGGCGCGTTGAATAACGCCAACCGCATGCTCATCCTGCTTTCGTAGAGTCCAAGTCTCTGAGGCGTACGTCAAGGCAGGAAGGACCGCGGAATCGAAGAGGTGGGCACGGAGCTTGGTGTTCCTCGTCGCGGCACATTACGATTGTCTTATTACATACCAGATTCGATGTTATGGTAAAATGACGACTACAGCAATATTCTATGCAATGCAAAGTTGAATAGTTAACTTCCTTACCGTTATCTTTGTTGCATAATGTCGAAGCACGTCGGCCGTTCCCCACTCTTCATGTTCTCGTGACAAAGAGATCACTTCTATGTTTGCTGATGGAAAGGAGAAGAGAGGAGTTGCCAACAGACGATTCACTTCAGCGTGGCCATCCTCGCGAACGATAATCTTGATATCTGCAAGTGGTTAGTAATAGTTTTTGGCGCTAATCGATATCTACAGATTCTTAAGATATACTTTGGCGCTGAAGTGTAGCACATACCCGGAGATGGGCTGGGGGGGGGTCCAAGAGTGTAGCGGCAATGGAAGCTGTCGATTAAGTCAAGGACGCGGCAGTGTGTGCACAGGAAAAGCGGGAGAGAAAAGAGATATATACCTCTCTTTCTCCGCCCCAACCCGATACTGCCCATAAATATGCAGCTGTAGCCACGCCAACAACTGAGCACGTTGACACGCCCTACCCATGTCCGGGATACAGAATGCAGACGAAAAGGGGCACTAAAGGGACCCTACTATGTTCTCGAAGATGACAAGACGGAAGGGGTCACCGTAACGGCAGACGAGCTCTAACGCCGCCAACTGCCCCTCCCAACTACACAAGCGCTTAGTTTTTCCTCGAAAAGGATCTATGAAAACCATATGAAAACGTAGCAACTGCTCACCTTTCACTCCTGAACGCACTAACGTATTCAGTGGATACCAGAACATCGGTATATCGGCTATAGGCAGAAGACATTTGAGCATAGAGTCGCACAGCTCTGTCATGCGACTACCACACTTCTGTCATGCGATACCCGAACCTCCGATAACAAATCGCTTGGAATCCGACAATTACGGGAAAGACCTGACTGCTCACAGCTGAAGAGAGCCATGCATTTTTCTGTCGAAGAGAAAGAGCTGCTACTCAATAAAGAACGGAACTCTGGCCCAGTCTAGTTTGTTGATGGGGCGTGACAAGAGGGAATGGGTCTAGCGCGACGTCAGCCCGTTTTTTTCCTTCGGCAAGCGACAAGACTGTATCATAATTCGTATCAGTCGTTTTCCACCATCATAGACCTCACTCTCCTCAACAACGGGTTGGCGCCATCCAAATCCTGCCCCCCGACACGCCCCCGCATCCGCAGCGAACGAAGACTATATATCAGTATTTACCGGCTCGCCGTACTCAAAGGCCTGAAGCTCTTCATATACGGGCTACCGGAAAAGATTTCGCCAATGGCGGCAAAACAACCTATCCCTTCAAGGCTCGCAAGAAGGCTTCAGTCTTGCCCGAAAGGATAGCAAAATCGAACTGAGCCTTGGCTGACGCGTAGAGCTCAATGCATACTTCGAGTATGCATCTAAATGACGCATCAGGTGGAAATTGGATGATTTTACTCATCCAACGAACAATATCTTATCGATATTTGATAATACCTCTCAAATGGCTTAGAAAACAACCCCTCCCAACTGAACTGAATGACAGTTCGGACGTTTGTAGACACTTACGGAAGGCTGCAGTCATATTTCTCGTCGGTGTTTCTAGCGTTTTGGAAAAAAAGGATACGTGAGCAACGACCAAGCGTTTCTGGGAAGAACGTCCGCGTTCTGAAGCGATCTGAGAGCAAAAGTGGCGTCTTGAGCGGAAAGGAAAGCATGTGTGTCGATTTAGCGCTTCGAGCATGCAAAACCTTTGGCAGAAGTCTACCACTCATCCTAATTCAGATCCTACTG